CTTTCATTTTTTTTGAGACAGGGTTTCCCTGTAGCCCCAGCTGGCCTGGAACTCACTATGTAGACCAGGCTGGCCTCGAACTCACAGAGATCTACCTGCCTCTGCCTCCTTGAGTGCTGGGATTAAAGGCGCCTGACTTAGAATCCTTATCTTCTTAAGTGCAGGTGCTGGAGCCAGGAGGGTGGCCAAGCCCTTGGCTTGCACTTTCTGAGTGTTCCTCTAAGGAGGAAGGTCCCCTCGGGTCTTAGTGCAGGTATTCCCCCAAGGGCTCCAGCCTTCCTCACTGTCCACTTCTGTTTTAGCATTCATGCCCTTCTTCTAGGCTCCCCAGAGACCATATTCTGTTTTCTTTTTCATTGTTCTTGTTCCTTTGGCTTCAGAACTCTCTGGACAGACTGAGTCTGAAAAACAAAATCAGAGAACAAAGCTTTATTAAGCCGATTCATTATCTTTATTATTCAGTCCAGATGATTTAGAAGTCTTACCTTCTAGTTTTTGAATGGGTAAGTTTGTTGTCCACTTGGGATCTTCCAGGCCAGGTCTTCATTTGGGGTTCTGAGCCTATGGTGAGCTCAGCCACACTAACAGCTTTGGGTCCTCCTCTCCATCTGTCTTCCTCCTGAAAGGCAGCAGCAGATTTACTTCAGACTGAGTCAAGTCTGAGGAAGGGAAGAAGAGGGAGTTCTCCCCAGATCACACCACAGGAGGCCAGTTCTCACCATGTGCTCAACCCGAGAATCCCTGGGAGATGAAAAAACTTGTAGGAGGTAGAGGAGATTGGGTGGTTTCTGCGTGAAAACAGAGAGCTAATTTGTAATACAGTCCTTGAAACACTGTCCCACCCCTCAGAATTCCTTCCATAAAGGAAAAATTTAATATTTTCATTGTTTTGTACTGAATTAGTAATTTTCATTATAAAAGCATAAACAGCAGGTATAGAGAGTGTAAGTCTCCTTTGATGGCCCCCTTCTCCCTGCCAGGGTTAATGACTGTGTTTGGATGGTCTGTCAGGTTTTTATATGTACATAGAAATATAACTCTGTATGTAAACATTTTTCATAAAAATGAGATCAAATAGTATTATGATTTCTTGTTCAATAATACACTATTTGCCTTTCTATGTTGGGGTAAATATTTGTGGGGTGAACATTTGTTTGCTTGTTTTAAATACTGGCATAGTATAAATTGCCAAATATGTAAGTAACCTTATTTTCTTTCTTTTTTATTTTTATTTTTTGGTCTTTTTGAGATAGGGTCTTCCTGTAGCCCCAGCTGGCCTGGAACTCACTATGTAGACCAGGCTGGCCTTGGACTCACAGACATCTACCTGCCTCTGCCTCCTGAGTGCTGGGATTAAAAGTGTGTACCACCCTGCCTGGCAAAGTAATCTTATTTTCTTTTTGAGACAGAGTCTCACACTGTAACTCAGGCTAGCCTTGAACTCCCAGCAATTCTCCTGTCTCCTCAGCACGGAGATACAGCTGCTTGTGAGAGCTGTCATGCCTGGTAAATAATCTTACTCTGCTGAATATTTGAGATCAGTCTTTGCATTTTATGTTTGCTTTTTAAGGATTAGAATAATGCAAACTGTCAGGTGTGCAGGTAATCTTTTTTACTGAACATTTGGCTTGTTTTCATCCTAATAAAGGAATTGATTACATTTCAATTTGTTTCAGTTTTAAATACTGCTACTTTAATCACTTTGATCCTGGAGAATAAAAGACAGACCCATTGAGATAGAACCTGATCTTAGTGGGTTAGAACCAAGAGCAGATCATAAATGAATTTGTGAGATCCACTATACTTCCGTTCCAATTTTATAATTGTAAATCTCATTTCCAAGTCCTAGAATTTTCTCTTGCTTCTTCAAATGAGACATCTCATGTCACAACAAGCTATGTTTGCATTATTCACCAACAATTCCCTTATCTAGTAGCTTTTACTACTATAGATGCTTAAAAATAAGGCATTCTTAAATGTCCTGGGGAAATACCAGAAACTGACATATTGAAACATATTACAATCAAATTTCTTTGTTTAGACATTTTGTTTCTCTGCATTATTTGCACATAATTGACTTCATTATGACTTTTCCACACACACACACACACACACACACACACGCACACGCACACACGCACACGCACATGTATATATGTACTTCGATCATATTCACTCCTCTCTACAACCAGCTTTTCTTTTTCTTTTTTTTTTTTTTTGAGACAGGGTCTGCCTGTAGCTCTAGCTGGTCTGGAACTAGCTATGTAGGCCAGGCTGCCTTGCTCTCACAGAGATCTGCCTGCCTCTGCCTTCCGAGGGCTGGCACTAAAGGCCTGTGCCACCACACCTGGCACAACCAACTTTCTTAATCTTCTTCTATCCTAATTGACCTTCTTTAAGAGTTTTCTTGAAAGTATTTTAGACCTAAAAATGTGGTAATGAAGATAGAAGACCAAAAATCAATATACCGAATACACTTGGTGATAATCACTCATGTAAATTATCAACACTCTTACACACTGCTATATTGTTTGGTCTCTACTTTTTTTTTGGCCTAGAACCCACTATGTAGACCAGGCTGGACTTGATCTCACAGAGATCTGCCTGCCTCTGTGTCCCAAGTGCGGGGATTCAAGGCGTGTGCCATCATGCCCAGCTTAGTCTCTACTAATTTTTTAAAGATTTATTTTATTTATGTGTATGTGTTTGCATGAGTGTATGTTCGCATATGTATGTGAGGGGTGTGCATGCAGAGGCCAGAAGAGGGCATCAGATCCCTTGGAGCTGTAGCTGAAGGCCTTTGCAGAATATGAGCTTGTTAATGTGGATGCTGGGACCCAAACCCAGTTCACATGATTGTTCGGCAAGCCCTTTTAACTGCTGAGCCATTTCTCTAAGGGGTCCTAGTCTCTATTTATAACTTTGGTAGTAGCATGTTTATTTTGTTGCACCTTTTCCTGACAAAACATGGAAATGTTTTGGTGAAAACTTATGCATCGGGCTGAATTATGGTGAGGGAGAAAGCTGCAGCCACATTTATAGCCTCTCAGAAGAACACCAGCACTCAAAAAGTCCAAGGGTGTACACACCTGTAATTGCAGCAGTCACAGAGCTAAGGCAGGATGAACTTGAGTTCAAGGCTAACCTGGTCTATGTAGACTCTATCTCATATCCCCCTTCCCCCCAAGAAACAAGAAAGAGCCAAGGGAGAGATTACATGGAGGGATTTGGGAACATGGAGGTGGTTACTTAAAGGAATAGAGGAACAAGGAGGAATGTTTTCTTAAGAGATGCAAGGATTTGATTGATTCTAAAGGGGGGAAAAAAACTGAATATGAGAGAAGAAGGCAGCCCCACAGAGAGGGAATAAAACAAATCTTTGAAACAGCAGTGCTCTTTCGGAGAACTCTATTATCATAGAAAGAGGCCAGAACTTTGGGTAGGGTGCAGGGGCAGAAGGGCTTTGTGCTGAGGAGTTTGTATTTTATCACGGAGACAACTGGAAACCATCAAAACTTTTTATTTTTTTTTTAAATGAAAATTTTTATTATTTTTTCGGGGGCGGGGGACCGGGGGCGGGAGGATCTGTGTACCTGCGTGTGGATACCAGCAGAGGCCAAAAGAGGACATCAGATCCTTTGGCGCTGGAGTTACAGATGGCTGTGAGCCGCTGACATGGATGCTGGGAACTGAATTTGGGTCCTCTGGAAGAGCAGAAAGCGTTCTTGACCACTGAGCCATCCCTCCAGCCGCCATCAGAAGTTTTAAGCAGATGTGCAACCTAAGATGTTGTGGATCAGAGGCTTCTTTTTTGGGTGGTGATGAATGACAGGTCGAGCAGGGTGAAACCAGACAAAAACAAGTTAGCCCAATTTCTGAAACCCAGGTGAGAAAAGACAAAGACTGAGTACCACAGTGAACAGGAGAGAAGAGACCTAGACCACTCACTGTTCAGGGTAGCAGAGGCTGCTGGGGCTGAAGAGGAGCTTGCTTGGCACTTCATTTTTAAGTAAAAGTATCGTTTTAAATTTAACCAGGCATTGACCCCGCCCCCAACAAACAAAAAACAAAAACATCTTCTTAGATAAACTGATAGAAATAGGAATACTTTCAACATAATATATTTAAAAGAAATGTCATTAATATGCAAAGAGCTATTTAAAAAAAAAAACACTAGAAGGGGCTGGCAAAATGGCTTGGTGAATAAAGGCTCTTGTTGCAGAGGACTGGAGTCCTGAGTTTGATCCCTCAAGTCCACATAAAGACGGAAAGAAAGAATGAGCTCCACAAAGCTGTCCTCTGACTTCCATGCATGTACTGTCATGTGTGTGCCCACACACATGCAACACACATATACACAGTAATAACAACAATAACAACAACAAAAACCCACTAGAATATTTTTTAAGTCCAATTTAAAAGTAGCTAATTTTGCTGGGTGTAGTGACAGACACCTTTAATCTCAGCATTAGGGATGCAGAGGCAGGCAGATCTCTGTGAGTTCAAGGCCAGCCAGAGATACGTAGTGAGACCCTGTTGCAAAAAAAAGAAAAAGAAAAAGAAAAAGCATCTAATTCTGCTGGGTGCGGTGACTTAAAACCTATAATCAAGCTGCATGGGGGGGCTGAAATGAGAGGATCACTTAAGCCCAGGAGTTTCAGGCTGGCCTGAATAGCCTGAATAACATTATGAGACTCTGTCACAAAAGGGGGAGGGCTAATTCATAGGAATGGGCTCTTCAGAAGTTTTTAAATGGGCCTAGAAATATGACTCAGTGGTAGGGTACCTACCTACCATGTACAAAGTTCTGGATTTTTATCCTCAGCACCACAAAGAAACAGCAAAACCCCAGAAATAAACCCCAGAATCAGAGGAAAACAGTTTTACTAACTAGAAAAGATCAGAACTGGTGATGGCTCAGTGGGTAAAGTGCTTGCCACCCAAGCACGAAGACCTGAATTTGGATCCCCAGAACCCACATAAAAAGCTGGGTGCAACTGTGTACACCTGTAATCCAAGGTGGAGAGGCAAAGACAGAAGGACCCTTGAGACTCACTGAACAGCCAGTCAAACCAGTGAGCTCCAGGTCCAATGAGAGACCTCTCAGAACAATAAATGTAGAGGGGCTGGAGGGATGGCTCAGTGGTTAAGAGCACTTGCTGCTCTTGCAGAGGACCTGGATTCCCAACACCAATGTGGCAGCTCACAATGATCTGTAACTCCAGTCCCCTGGGATCTAACACCCTCTTTTGGCCTCCGTGGGCACTGCAAGCATGTGGTATACTTACATACGTGCAGGCAAAACACTGATTCACATAAAGTAAAAGTAAATAAATCTTTTAAAAAACAAACTATTAGCTTGGCATGGTGGCACACCCCTTTAATCCCAGCACTTAAGAGGCAGAGGCAGGCAGATTTCTGTGAGATCTAGGCCAGTCTGGTCTAATACAAGTTCCAGGCCAGCTCAAATTACAGAAAGAAAGAAAAAGAAAGAAAGAAAGAAAGGAAGGAAGGAAGGAAGGAAGGAAGGAAGGAAGGAAAGCTCCTTTCTTACTCTTGTTTGTTTGTTTGTTTGAGACAGGGCCTCACTATGTGCAACCCTGGCTGGCCTGGAACTTGTTATTTAGATGAAGCTGGTCTTGCACTTACAGAGATCTACTTGCCTCTGCCTCCTGAATGTTGGGACCAAAGGAGTTCACCACCATGCCCTCATTCCTTTCTTATTCTTTGAAAAAAATTAAATATAAAGGTGGAGACATGATTGAAGAAGACACTTGTAGACCTCTGCCCTCT